GCAACAGCCCCCACTCTCCTGTAAAAGCTGTGAGGACTTTGTCCTGTTCCTTTAAGATGAGTTTATGGGTAGTGACCAAGTTCAATCCTGCACCCCCCAACTTGAGGCAGTGCCGAAGTAAGTGATTTGACATATTCCCGATTTCAAAACAACTGATTGAGGTTGTCTGGAGAACTCCTTTTGGGGTTCATGATGCCAAAGATCTTGCCTCTCTGTCAGTTTCCCTGAGGGGGAAGTGGTTTTCCATCCTGGTCATATTTAGATCTACATTGATTATTCCAATATCTGCCCTTATGACAACCTGGACCAACTTTATTTTGTCACTTCCCTGAATTAGCTCATGGTGGGGCTTGGCAGTCCCTGCAAATTTGACCTGCCTTGCCACAGCCAAAACATGTAACCTCTCCTTTTAGAACATCTGTTAATAATGAGGTTCCTTGTTGCTCCATGCCTATATTCTGGCAGGCCTTAATTAACTGACTGATATTAGTGGTGGTTCACTCAAGGGAATTGAGAACAGCTGTAAAGTCATCATTGGCATTCTCATAGGCTCACTGTAGTAGAAGAGTTTCAGCTGCTTCCGGATTTTCAACCTTCTTCAATATTGTCTCCTGCAGTATTTCAGCAAATTCGAAATAGGTTTCTATGGCTGCTTGTCAAACATTAATAAAGAAGCTGGGCTGTTGGACTTTAACTTCCATTTATCTTACCATTTTAAGGGTGTTAAAAGCTGCCTGGGAGCATGGGGTAAAAACCCATAGATCCATTCTGGCCTGTTCTTCAGGATGTTTGTACTGACCAGTCTTAAGCAGCATATCAAGCCACACTGGGTTGTTGCTCCTGTTGTGTTCTGTGGCCTGTGGGTGGCAGTGGTCACCATATTCTGAATGCCACAGAATAATATGGCCTGGTATAAGAATAGTTCTACCAAGAGTAATCCAGTCACAGGAGGCCATTTTATAGTCATCAGTGATGACAGAGATAAACCCTGCAGTATAGGGTGACTGAAACCCATTTTCCTTTATGCTCTTCTTTAAATCTTAATATATTGTAAAATGCAACAGGTCATGGATAAGCTGTCCATTTTGCTTAGAGACAATTGGAAAATCTGACAAAGCTTTCCAATCTCCTGCCTCTACAGCTTCTTTAAGACACTGATGCATCAGAGTCATGGTCTGAGTAAATGATAGAGGAGAATCTGAGGGAGGAGGAGGCAAGGTGATGAATCTTCTGACACATTGTCCCAAAGAAGTGCAGAAGGGGGACTAAGAGAGGGACTATCCTCTGTCCGTGGCAGCGGGTTCCTGCAATTACACTCAGTACATGCCTGCATCTGAGGTCTGGGACCTTTAAGTCTAAGCTTTCCTGATGACAAAGACTTCTAGTTTGAATAAGGGCAAATAAAGAGCTGTTCTACCTAGGTTCCAAGTTAATCAGTTATGATGTCCTATAGGGGTCCAATTTTCCTGGAGCCATTTCAGTTGCTGTCTGTCTCTTTCTCATACTTCTAAATCTAGAGAACCTTTCTCTGTAAACTTATCCCTTTCCTGTCTGAAGTAAGTTGATTAAATTTTATCTTAGCCTGCTCATCCTGCAGCCATAAGAAGCTGCTGACACAGTTAAGAGTCCATCTCCTGCTCCCTAGTTAGTCTGGAGCCCATTACTGCAGCTGAGATACTTTTGTTTTCATTTTTACTTTCTTTAGTCTCCACGCTGCATTATCTAATCTTCTAAGTCCTTTCTGATTAATTGCTGGGAAATTAGATAAGTGTAGTGGGTCAAACTGTACTGCTTGTGAGAAGGGCTTCCAAGGGTTTAACCCCTTGGTTATCCCTAACTCTCTTATGTGTCACAGTTTCTCCCCTGACTATCTAAAACAACTAAGGGGACTCAGGGCACTAGGTGACCAGCTGTTATATCACATGTACCCAGATGAACTTAAAGTTAAATATTGTTAATGGGATTCCCTGTGAGTCCCTTGCATGTCTTAGGGATTGATCCTAGACACCCACCTGGAGCTCCTACACACATAGGGACAGCCAAAAACACCCAGGGCATGAGGAAAATTTGCCTCCTGTATTCAAGTCCTGACTATTTAATTACCTAACTGCTGGAAACTTCTTAACATATTTTTAAAGTGGAGGGAGAAGTGAGAAAAAGGTTTGGAAAAATGAACACTTTTTGCTCCAAGATAAAATATTGCTTTCTTGTCTTGAGAACTAAACCTAGGAGAGAAACGTGTCACAGGGATGGGACTGTGAACATTTTTACAGTGTACCTCTTGTTGTGTGGACTTTTGCTTGCAGCTGGCATGCAACCTAGTGTTCTGTCCCAGTCCATGTCCAGCTTTCTTTTATGGGAATCTTTGTTGCAATGAGCACCCTTGTGGTTTTTAAATACTCAATGCCTGCCTGTAAGGTGTGGCAGCTTCTCAAGGGAGAGAGATCAAAATCCTGCAAAGAGTGTTTGAATTAAAATTGAACTGTCAGATGTTACCTGAGGCATAGAAAAAAAAGGGCAGAAAAACTGAAAACAAATGGACACAAGAGATGGCCCTGAAAGAAATTCCCCTTCTCCTTTATCGTCCACACAACTGTGCCAGAACAAACAATTTATGGTCCAGCTTGGTCCCTTACTAGGGGTTAAAGACACACAAGAACTGCCACCTCATAGCTGTGTGGTTGCGATGATGACTCATACCCTCTTAGGCAGATCTAGGTCACAAGTGTCTCTGTTTGGATGCCAGAAGATGAGGCTCTATCCTACAGAATCTCCCAAATTTCCATAGATGAAGAAATAAACTCTACCTGATGCAATTTGCCTGTCCAGATTCCCTCCAGTAGACAAGTCCCTGAGCCCTTCTCTTGAAGTAACTTTTATTGAGTTTAACTCGTCTATGGATTAGTAGCATGTGTATAAATATTATCAATCAATGTAAGAGTAATGATTAAAACAGGGACATATGGTTTAAGGATAATAGTAAAGGGGTTACAAGTGTGTTTCTGAGTCAGGGTCTGGTAGACAGGGTTACACCAATTCAGCCCTAAAACCTGAGAAAATAACCTCATCCTATGATCAGACCCTAAATACTAGTACTCATTAACTTGAGGGCATTCTTAGCAAAATAGGTTTCATAGGATTTACTGTATTCCTTTTCCAGACCTAATGGTCCTCTGGAACCACCTGATTGAGTTCAGGGCTGTATCTGCCTATAGTATTGTTTGGAGTCTGAGTCAGGCAAGGGTGTGAAGCAGAGGAGCCAAGAGATAAGGAGACCTCTTTCAGATACAATGGGGGCTCTGGTCATGACAAAGCCAATGGGTGAGGGTCTTTAATTCCTTCTCTGTGTTTCCCAAGTCCTTCCCTGATGGCTCCTATGTGACTGTGCCTATATTAGGTTGGCATTCAGGGGCCTTACCCACCATGGACTAACCAACCATCCTTCAGGGCCAAACAGGGTGATGTGAAGGAGGCAGGGGTTGTGCCCCTTCCAAGGAGACAGGTTTTGTCTCCTAATTGGCCTGTTTCCCCAAGGCCCCCTTGCTCACCTCTACCTTGGAGCCCTCTTGCTAGCAACCAGACTAAAGTCCCTGAAACCAAGCCAGATGGTTCCTGACAGGCCAATAATCATCTCTCCAGCAATGCCACACTGCTTCACTTTGTGTTGACCTGTCTCTCCCAACAGGCACAGAGTCCTTAATAACATGTGAAAATAGTAAAGTGTATGATGAGGTAGATTTCTGGAGATCCTTGAAAAGAGCTTCAGACAGAATTTGCATCTGTCTCAGATCATCCTTGTAAGTCTCAGGCACACATATCTGGGTTAAAGGGGATAATCCTCTTCATACATTGCATTACCAATGGAAACACAAGCCAAGTCACAGAACTCAGGAGTCAGAGTCACTGTGGACATGGGTATGAGATGAGCACATCTCATGGGTCTCTGCTTCACACTCACTCTGTACCATCCTTTTGTCCATAGAGATCCCCAGTGACAGGATGGAATGACCACTGGCAAAAGACACCATTGAGTGGATAAAAGGACAGTTAACAGTAGGACAGAACTGACCTTCTTCTTTGATCTCCATTCAGGAGGATCCTAGATTCAATGTTATTGCCCTGATGGGTGTTTCACCCTCTCTGAATTGTTAAAATGAGGCCTGAGGGAGATAGGAGTAGAAGTAAGTGCGATTTGTGTGAGCAGAAAAAGCAGATTTCATGTTCACTCTGAAATATGTAAATCACTCTGGAACATAGAAATGAAGAGGAAATATTTCGGTTCAACACAGAGGATTTTTATTTTTATTTTTATTTTCAGAACCTGGAAAAAAATAATTGTTCATTTTTCTATCATCTTTTAGGAGGTTGTGCATGGAAGCAAAGCATATCTACCTATGCCTCCATCTTGGCCAGAAGTCCAGAACTATCACAAACATGAACATTTTTTCAGGAAAAAAATGTTTGCAACTAGATAATGATAATAGTGTTAGAGCCATGGAACTATACAAGGGGATACTGAATTGTATATATTGAAATACTTAAAACAGTGAATTTCATGTTATGTTAACTTCAAATATATAAAAATAATATAATTTAACATATGTTCTAAATTTTAACCTGAAACACAAAAGAAGATAAGGAGCTGGAAATAAAGAAAAAAAAATAGAGTAAGATTTGTTGAGCAGGGAGAGGAAACACCAAAATGTAAAACAAAACTAAACAAACAAACAAAATTAGCACCTTTAGTTCCTCTTGGGTTTCACGCTCTCCATTTTGGGTCCTGAGTGCCCCCTGGTGCCCTGGGTGCCCTCTGCAGCCCAGACTTCTTGTCTCCTGTAGGAGATTTTTGCCTGGGCTCACAATGAGTTCCCCTCGCTGTGTCTCTGGTACAGTAACACACGGCCGTGTCTTCAGGTTTCAGGTTGGTCATTTTGAGAGAGACTGTGTTGGTCGGGTTGTCTCTGGAGATTGTGAATCTTCCTTGAACTAATGGAGCATACCATTGACTTGATCCAGTTGTTTGACACTGTTGCCACCCACTCCAGCCCCTTCCCTGCAGCCTGGCGGACCCAGTCCATGCTGTAGTCAGTGAAGGTGAGTCCAGAGGCTTTACAGGAGAGGGTCAGGTGCCCTCCAGGCTGCACCAAGCCTCCTCCAGACTCCACCAGCTGAACTTGGCACAGGGAACCTACAAAGAGAGAAACAGACTGTGAGAACAGTCCCTGAGGAGCACTCTCCACTGACCCTCCTGCAAAAGGACGTACAGTTGACAGCAATGAGAAGGGAAGCCCAAAAGAGTGCAGACCCCATGGTGTGAACTCTGAGGATGGGCTCACACAGAAGGCTCCTCCCAGTGTTGTTCAGAGACAGGAGGTGAGCTGGTTTTCATGGGATGGGGAGGGGCTGCACTTGCATGCCTTCCTTTTGGGTCAAGTCTTAGCTGCTCAGCAGAGCTCCTCTTCCCTGTCTTGGATGCTCATGGGAGGGCAGGTGGAAAGAATATATGTGCCTGGATGCAGGGGGACTCTGCAGGCCTATATATGCCAGTAGTTTTTTCTATACATAATGATAGACACACAATAAATAGATGAAAATTGGGATATTAAAATATCCAGTGCATGTTGCAAGTAAAACCACTCAGGAGATCTTGAGACAGGTTTGTGATGGCAATAGATCCCCCTAGTGGTGGGTGTGTGCCACACAGGTTTTGAACCTTGTCCAGACCAGCATCTTGCCAGGCCCACCCTCTGCAGGACAGTCGTCTCTAGCACGTTTGAAGTGGTGACAACCCCAATCCTGTTTCTTTGTTGTCTACAAATGAGTCTCTGCAAGGGCACCCTCAGCCTAAGTACTCCAACCTTGGGGGCAAACCTACAGGATTTAAGCCCTCCTCAGTGCTGGAGGACAGACTTCCCGTGCCATGTCCTGGGCTCGCAGGTTGATGATGCTTGTCACCTGGTCTGCTGTCCACACTCACACATCTTGGCGTCCATTGTGTGACACACCAGGGACATTTGAACTCTGTGGTGGGGACCCTTCAGGATTGTTGTCTGTAGAGCTGTAGAGGGAATGCTGACCACAGGGCACACACTCACTATCTACAAGGTGTGCTCACACCCAGACACCAGGCAGGCCCTGTTAAGACAGCCCCTGGGAGCTCCTCTGCTGAGACTGCGAGTCACTGAGTTACAGGACAATATCTGAGGGCATATGAGTAAGTACAGTGGAGAGGACAGCACATGCTGCACTGTGCGGTGGCTATAGGGACGTGCCTCTGTGGGGGGCACCACAGACAATGCAGCACCTTCTGAAACCTAAGGGAAACCAGCTGAGTCCAGCAGAGATTGGATCAGGGATCTAAAACCCAGAGCCCATCCAGGGGCTGTCACGGATGCGGGGGATAAAACACAAAATGTCTCAAACACTTCTCTGTTTACCAGGAGAGCCTACAAGGGCACTTCCCTCTCACGGGATAAGGCCGTGGTACATTCCTCTCGTGGGGAAAGCCCTGGCACATCCCCCTAGTGGGGAAGGCCGTCTAGTGGGGAAGCCTGTTGCCCCTTGTTCCAAGGCTTATATTGAAAAACTTATCAGTGGCCTAGGTAAAAGGAATGCGTATGTTACTCATTACACCAGTATGGTTTCAAAGAGAATAGATACTTTTAAGAAAACAAGTGACAGGGATTCACTGATATACAAGGGTCTGAGAGGAGATTATAATCAACAATAAAGACTATAGATAAGGGGGAAGAAGACTTAAAGGTACCTTAAAGATATAGAGTAAAAAGTGTAAATAAAATAAATGGCTTAACAATACCAGGTAAGGGGTGTAAACAAGGGTCCTTCACAGCATGAGCTGACCAGAGATTTGAGGAATGAACAGAGCATGCTCCAAAGAATTTATCTCTAGGCCTGATTACCTTGGGACCCACCAGATATGATTGAGGGCTATTTTTCCGGCATTGTTTATGCCTGAGCCAGGCAGGAGGAGAGAACCACCAAAAGATAAGGAGACTGCTTCTCAGCTGCAATGAGGACTCTGGCCGTGTCCAAGCCAAGTTGAGAGGTGCAAGGGACTGTTTGTTCCTTCTCCATGTCCTCCAATTTCTTGTCTGCTGCCCACATCGGTCAATGCATGTCTTAGGTTCCCCCTCCCCCGAGGGGTCTTACCTGTCCTATGCAGGGACTATCACAAGAAAAAGCAGAGGGGCAGGGTTAATGCCCCTGCTAAGGGGGGACAGGCCAAGTCACCTCAGGAGCCTGTTTCTCCAAGGCTTCCTGATTATTTCCAGCCTTGGGGCCCTCCAGCCTATTGTCAGGATTACAGTTTCTGAATCCAAGCTGGGCGTTTCCCAACAAGCACAGCCCTGTCCTCCTCAGGCTGGGCCATTGGAGATGTGGCCTCAACATTGGTGTTTCCATCTGAAAAATAGCTTTGCGATTGCAGTGGTAACTTGATATGCAAACTCCATAAAAGGATGACAACTCCATTAGGTGTGTTCAACACTGTTGTTAATATCATTACCTACCTAGAAGGTAGGAAGCTCCTCTGTGAGGTCTCACCTCCGATTGCATGAAGAACACCTTCCCCAGTTCTGGAAGGTCACATCTGTGACAGGTCACTCACAATCACCCAAGTGTCCTCACCACTGCATTGAGTCATACAGATCCATTTGTTTTAAGTGCAAAAGGCACCTTTTTTCCATTTCTTTGCATGAACCAAGCCTTGAGTGCAAAATAATGTCACCTGGGCTTTCAATAATATTTTGGATAATTTAAGTAATAACTTCTATGAACCTGGATGTAGGTTATTGAAGAGTCATCAGAAGTTGGAGGATTCATCTCCAGAAGAGAAATCTGAGACCCTTTACTAGAACCTGAATATGTGGACTGACCCATTACAGGCCAGTAGATGGCAAGAGACAGACCCTGACATTCAGAACCAGGTGCATCCCGCTTAAATAAATTTTGCCTGCTGGTGTGGGTCAGTCAGTCAGGCTGTTTTTGATTTTGAGTAGATTCCCTGTCCCCTAGAGATAATCTCAGGAGTGTAAAATGACAGTCATGTTTAACAAGGTCATGGGACTGCTTGGCAAGTGGTGCCATGATAGCAAATGACACCAGCTTTGCACTTTCAGTTTTATCAGTGATGTTAGGATTCAGAGTGAGGAAAATAAGCAGAATTCCTAGAATAGATTTGCTTACAGGACAGGGAACTTCTACCCTGATCAGAAACCCTCATTCCCAGCCTCCCTCAGCTCTGACCTTGGAATAGCCACTTTGGCCAGAGGTTGCTGGGCTCTCTGATATAGCATATAACCTTCTTAATGTCCAATAAACACTCTCTTCCTTCAGATAGATGATGTTGAAATATAGTCTTCATTTCACACTAGTTTTTTCATTGGCTAAAGGGATCTTGGGCCAAAATTATTTAATATTAGCAAAGTCCAGTTATCAATGCTTTAATTTATTTTCTATAGCTAAGTTTTCCAAAAATGCTCCCCAGAAACTGGCCAGCCTCCATTGCTCATGCTCATTGGTTACAGCAGCCATGCAGCCTAGAAACTGGTTTGGTACCAGGAGTGGAGCACAGCTGTACAAATTACCCACAAATATGGGAGTGCTTGGGAACTGGATCAGGGCAGGATGCTGGATTTAGTTCGAGTCACATTACATAAATATACCTATTTTCACCTTAGCCAGAGTGACTCAGTGGAATGAACAAAGGTTTGCTAGTTGGATTCCCAGAGCAGGGCACATGCCTGGGTTTCAGGCTAGGTCCCCAGCAGAGGGCATGTGTGATGCAACCTCACATTTATGTTTCTCTGTCTCTTTCTCCCCCCTTTCCCTTCTCTAAAGTTAATAAATGAATAAATAATATATTTTTTAAAATATCTTTATTTATTGAACAGTGTCACACCACATAGGAAGGTGAAGACTTTTTAAGTGGACACCTAGATGAAAATAGAGAGCATGGTAGAGACAGCTTATATCATCTTAGAAAATACTAAAATCATTATAGACACATATTTGTTAGAAAAGGAAACTTTAACAAATATGCAGGTAGGTATCAAGGGAAAGAAGGAACATATCATTGCATACAAGTGTGAAAGTGACTCCTTGTTACATGCATATACATTTTCAGTGTCTCTGTTATATAGCACAACAATGTCACAGACCTAGAGACTCAGACTTGACCACTTTTGTGGTCACACTATGCATCAGCCAAACTCCATAACTCATTGGGGCCCCATTTATGAAACCTCTTACCAATTACTGAGAAGAGAGGACACCCCTGCCTGGAGGAGCTCTGGTGATGAAGTGCTTGTGTGAGGAGCTATTGTTAAATGGAAACAATATCCCTGTCTCAACTCACCATCAACTGCATCACCACTCTCATCATTGTCATCATCATTTTCCTGTTATCATCATTGGCCTATGATAATCATACTTTTATTTTTCCATGTGCATGGTTGTTGTGCACACATAATGACTCCTTATCTCATCTTTACTCATTTATTTTGTTTAGGGGAATGGTGTCAAACTCTGTTTTATTTTATGTTAGACTGCTAGCAGCTGATGTCTCATTCCTGCCTCTTCCCCATCTGCCCCATATGGGAAATCTTGTGAGAAAGGCCAGGTCTCCTCTTTAGATATCATTGGGACACGAAGCCTAACCAAGCCTCGGTGGCAGGATTCCTCTCCTCCACCACCACCTTTCCACATTGTATCAAAACATGCCAGACTTTCTGAAGGGCCTTTCCTGTTCCTCCCAGAAATTTCAACCTGGTGTGTGATAAACACTCCATGTCCCATTGGTGTTCTTGTTAGCCTGAGCCTCCGCACCATGCTGCCATGGCTCCCTCTGCCCTTGCAGAGTCACCTACTCTTACTGTTGTGAGAATGAAGCCCAGTCAATGACTGTCACCACCAGGGACCTTTCTCTTTTGGTGTTTGATTCATATACCTCTGGTGCCTGCTGTCCAGCCTGTAGGTGTCCGGCTGCTGGCTGGCTTGTAACTGAGCTCTGTGGGGCTGGGCTGCACTGTGGGACCCAGCTGAGGCTCTGGTTATTTTCAGGTGGCATGGGTCAGAATACTAGATGTTTCATTGAAATTAGGTCCAAGAGTGTCTGAAAGAGACTCTGTCTATTGTCCCTGTGAGAATATTGTCTTTGCAACAGACTTT